AGGCATGTTCAGTGCTGGCAGGGGTCCAGGGCCCTGAGGGCCTTCTGGGTGGGCCTGGGCACTAGGAGGGCTGGCATCAGGTATGGGGTGTGTGGAAGCTGGTGGGGAGCTGTGGACGGGATCAGCAGCTGTGTCTGTGTCTGGGGCCGGTCCCTCCTGGGCTCCAGCCACCAGGCTGCGCCCTGTGCCCAGGTCCTCCGTGGGATCACTGGGCCTGGTGGCAGCTGTGGAAGCCTGGCCAGATGGGAAGGGGCAGCCCTTTTGCCCACCTATTCACAGGCCCCTGCTTGTGTAATGCTGCCACATGGGAAATGGACATGCGTGTTGGCCGGTCCTTCGAGTGCATCCGTACTGCAGACACTGTCTGCTTCCACAAGTCCTTCTTCAGGGCAAACGTGTCCTTCCGGAACTGAGGGAGCAGAGGCCACTGTTGGCTTCCCAGGGACCCTCCCACCTGGCCTGGAGGCTCCCACCACCCGCTCTTCCAGAGCCAGCCCAGAAGGCCTGGCCAACTCTGGAATTATGGGAGCCTCAGGCTGAGGTGTGGAGCCAAAGGCCCCAGAACCAAGGAAGCCCTGGGGAAGGCTGACTGCCGGTGGAGGGGGGTAAGCAATGGAGTCAGGGCGGGTAGGCTGTGGAGATGTCACAGGCCTCTGCTCTGCAGGCCAGCGGAGCCAGTGTTCCTCGTTCATGTGCTCACTATGGAACTGCAAGGCCTTGATGCACAGAAGTGCAGGCCACTGGGCACATGGCTCCTGCTTCAGAGCTGGAGGATTGAGGGCTGGTCCCAGGCATGGACGCCCCTCAGTGTACACCCCACCCCAAGCTACCCAGGAGGCCCCGGCAGTCCCATGGGTTTGCTCTCACCACCTTGCTTTCCATCTCCTTGGTCATGATCTGCACAGCTTCTCCCACGATCGCCTCGTGGGACAGCACAGGCCTGAAGGATACCTGGACCAGGCATCGCTGTGGGGAGACGCAGGGACCCAAGGGCAGTGGGGGGCCTCAGTCTTCCTCCTTTCTCACCCAGTCCAGATCCTCCTGGGCAGGTCAGCCCAGGCTAATGGTCTTGGCCAGGGCCTGTAGGACCTGGGGTGGGTGGGCTGCTCCCCGACATAGGATGGGGTCTTGTGGGACAAATGCTGAGTGCAGACTCTTGGATAGATCAGCACCACATACTGTCAGAAGGCCCAGCAAGAAACCAACATGGAGCCAGGTACCACTGGCTCATGCCTGTAGTCCTAGCCACTTGGGAGATAAGGACTTGGAAGATTTCCAGGCAGAAAAGTCCATGAGGCTCTGTCTCCAATTAGTTAGCAAAAAGCTGGACTGGAGGTATGGCTTAACAGATCGAGTGCCAGCTATGCGCAAGAAAGCTGAGCAGAGCAAGAGGAACCAAGTTCAAGTCTCAGCAGCAGGAGACACACATAAGATAAATGAACCTGGCAATGTGGAAATCCACTGACTAAGTCTAGCAAGTCCAGCAAGTCCCCTCAGCTCAGGGCCTAGCCCTGGCCCATGGCAGCTGGCTGACGCTCCCCAGAGCTCCAGAAGGCCAGGGTGTAGGGGGTGATGTGAGGGCACAGAGGGAGAAGAGGGGTGACTGGAAGAGAAGAGTGGAAGGAGGAAAGGAGAGGAGAAGGAAGAGAGGGATGCGGCCATGTGGGCAGGAGGCCTGGACAGGGCACACAAACCATAGCCACCCACTGTGGGATAGGACAGCGACAAATGCATTTGATAAACTTAATGAAAGAATTGTATTTCCTGTGTGTGTGTGTGTATGTGCATGCACACACGTGTACATGCGTGTGTTTATGTGTGTTAGCACTGAGGCTTCAACTCCGGGTCTGGGCACTGTCCCTTAGCTTTTTCACTCAAGACTGGTGTCTCTACCAGTTGAACCACAGCCTCACTTCTGGCTTTTTGGTGGTTAATTGGAGATGAGAGTCTCGAGAACTTTGCTTCCTCAGCTGGCCTCAAACCTCAGTTCTCAAGCCAGAGGCTGGCGGCTCACATCTGTAATCCTAGCTACTCAGGAGGCTGAGATATGAGGATCACAGTTCAAAGCCAGCCCAGGCAATAAAGTCCATGAAACTTTTATCTCTAATAAACTGTTAAGAAAACTGAAAGTGGCGCTGTGGCTCAAGTGGTAGAGCACTAGCCTTGAACTGAAGAGCTGAGGGACAGCGCCCAGGCTCAGAGTTCAAGCCCTATGACCTACCAAAAACGACAACAACAACAACAACCAAAACCAACAAGACAAACAAAAGCAAAAAACCCCCTCAGTTCTCAGATCTCAGCCTCCTGAGTAGCTAGGATCACAGATGTGAGCCTCTAGTTCTGGGCTAAATGATTGTGTTCCTTGAATCCCTGGTGTGGATTAGGCAGAAGGACCCTGGGTGGAGCTGGACAGTGGCCTGAGCACCCAGGGCCCTGTCCAGTGGTGTGAGTCCAGCAAGAAACCCGGGCTGGGAAGGTGGCTCAGTGGTAGAGCGCTTGCCTTGCAT